GGGAGGGGGAGAGAAAGTCATGAACAGTAGTCCTCGTCATGGATGGCGTTGTGGGGGTGCAAGTCAGTGGCTATGGGAGAGGGAGGGAAGATTTTACAGAAACAAGAACAATATACACCACCATTACATATCAGCATATATCAGTAGTCATGGGAGGGAGAAAGTCCTGAACAGTCCTCGTCATGGATGGCGGAGGGGGAGGGGGTGCAAAGTCTGTCTATGGAGGAGGGAGGGGTAGGGGAGATGGCATGAAATTCTTTGGTGTTTACATTTATTTATTTTTGTATCTATATATGTGTCCTTATTGGTACATACAATTGTAGCTGTTGATTTACATTCATATTCACATCTCTAATTATATACTTCAGTGATATATCCATTTAAAGATTAACTTTTGACTACTTAACTAACTATTTGAATATGYTTATTTAGTTTTAGGTTTGTCTGTCTGTCTGCATCATTCTGAGCACAGTCTGGTGACGTATTTCAACTGTTGTGACGTCATTATCTGAGAYAAAGAGAAAAAACGTCAGTCATGTTCGTAAGTCATTGAAATAGTGTTGATATGTGTTAATTATTTTTATTACCTTTGGTTTAGTTGTTCATCACTGTTGTCTTTACACTGATGGGCTTCCTGTGTGGAAAAAGAAACGAATAMAAAAACAAAGCGAAATAAGAAGTGGATGGGTGAAGAAAAAAAAGGCCAACGATTGAATAAATGAATAAAAAAAGAATAAAAGAACGAATGGGAGTGAGGGAGAAAAGAAGAAGAAAGAAATGGAGGGTTAAATCTGTTTAATGAATGAAGCAATCAATCAATAGGACAACTAACACGAAAAGGTATGAATGAGAAGACTGGAGATGAAAGATTTGATCCAATTATAGAACAGTTCCGGTCCGGTTCACGAAATGAAACGAACTCAAGAACGAAAGAAGATACGTCTTTCATTGGGGGAGGAGCTTGGGCATCAGAGGGGAGGGTCAATAGTAAAAAAAAATAATTTTTTTGGCAGATTTAAACAATTATATTTTTTGACGAAAGATTTTTCCTTGTTGACACTATAGTAGGGTCATGCATAGATTTCTTACTGAATAAAAAGGCGAGGGCTACAATCATCTAAAGAAAGTTTACTGCGAATCCTGCAGCCCTCTCTCCCCCATTATAAAAGGTACCTTCCCAAATGCATGTGTTAACAAAAGTGTTTCAGTACTTACCCATCTATCCACAGCCATTAACGTCTGCTACAGCCTCGGTGACCATCACATCATTCTACTCCACTTTGGTACGTTATCAATACATTTTAAACCTTACTCGTAAATCATTGATTACTTAATTGATATAGCTATGTCTGACTAGCTAAACAAATCGCCTCTTGTCTCTACTAGTAGCCATAGCAACCCATCAAAGTTAAGATATCTTGAATCCCTCAAGATTTCTTAACTGCATACAAAATTCTGACATCAAAATATTTGAACATCAGAATTATGACAAAAGCCTAAAGAATCTAGATTCTTTAGATTCTAGTGAAGGGTTAACTGATTATGATAGAATCTTTTAATATGCTTGGTTATATCTATGTACGTGTTTTTCTTACCATCATCTTCTTTTGAGTAATTCGCTTTCGGTGTAAAATTACCGCAGCCAGGCTCTCCAGTTCGCTTATGTTATGTCAAGAAAAAAATGTAAAACTTTCGGTTTGAATTTTCCATCATTATTAACCAAGGTAAATCAAACACATTATAACACCAGGTCGCAGTGGCGGTTCCAGCCCTTTGTGAAGCTGTTGATGTTCTTTACGCTCAGTGGAATAATATAGGAATCCCCTTTGTGAAGCCGATTGCGCCAGCTTTTTCTGCTCGGCGGCCATTTTGAAACCTCTCCCCTTTTTAAAACCCTGGATCTGCCACTGGGTCCACTGGGTCGTGCTCTTTTTTATCTTTCATTCATACTTCCATTGTTAACTACTCACCTGTTTCTTATTTGTTGTTGGCCTCTCAGTGACGCTGTTAAAAAGATGCACATTGCGAGGTGTTAAAAGGTAAGTGCTACATTACTTTCATAACATTTGAAGCATTTGATTTTTCCTTAACCTGGTCAGTGGTTTGGTCAGCAATGGTTTAGTAGTTGTAGGTACTTGTGTTGTCCTTGTAACTGCGCCTTCAAAATTAAGATAAAAGTCAAAGGATTTTTGTTTTTCACTTCTTTGTTAGAAATAAAGACGGTGCGCCAGAGTTTTAGGGAATAATATTTTATAATAAAAAACGATTAAGTCACAATACAAAAGTAACGCCCAGTTTAAAAATCAAATTTAACATGTGTTMAATTTCAATATAAATGAGCAAAACCTGTTGTTTGATCTTGAATTAATTTGCAGTAGATGCGGGACATGAAATTCGACGCGGTACACATTTGTTTTTTTTCAAWAACGTACCCATCTTACACGTCACTCCAACGTCTTCACTATGGGTACAACGCGAATTACCCCATCCATTGTGACTACAGTCTGCAATCGACGTTTCTCTTCCTCTACAATCAACGTATATCAGCCATATTATACCCTTGACTGGTGTAAAGTTGGTGGTTTTGTATTCCTGTACTCCAGGGTAACCAAGCATACGACACACCACCTCAGCGTCTTTCATGTCCCATCCATATTTACATACAGTACCCCACTGACCATGGTACGTGAATTCAAGTCGACCAGAATTGACTGATCTTTCTCCAGCTAAACGAACTTGAACTGGTGGAGGATCTGTAGATTTGTACCAACATCATTGAGGTCACTTGTACAACTGACACTTGGACAAGTGTTTGAAAGGGAATAAGTAGAGCTATACTAAAACTCGTGTCTGATCACCAAATGAACTATTTAGATGATTTGCTTTGAAGTGATGATATTTGAATGATCAGAGTAAAGTAGAGATTCGTTTTTCTTACCTTCATTTGTCTGACAAACCACACCAGCAAGATCTTTATTCGAGCAATATAAAGGAACRCTCCACCATCCTTGGTGAGCACACTCTGCTATCGACTTTTCTCTACCATTGCATTCCACATACGTCATTAGCCTTCCTCTTGGTGTCTCGCCTTCAATGTACCCAATTGCGTGTTTAGCTGCTTTGTAACCAAGCATTTTGCAGATCACGTCAGCATCCCGTATATCCCACCACCAAACATTGCACACTACTCCCCAGGTCCCGTTGTACTTGATTTCTACTTTGCCAGTATGGTTTTGATCTCCCTCCAGACGAACTTCGATCGCTTTCTCATCTGAAAGAAATGTTGTTCAATAAACAAATAATATTCTAATCACATCCCTTACATTGCTTGATTTTATGTTGATAGAGTAAAGATACAATTTATATAGATAGGTATTCTAATCAACGTTGTCACAAAAAGCAACTTAAATATTTGATTAAAATAGCAACGAACTAATGCAATAATTTTCAGTTGATGATTTTAAAATATTGTTTCTTGACATGATTGAACAGATAAACAAAGATCATATGAATGTCTTGTTTCGTAACTTATCTAGTTGTACCTGGTGTTAGATTGCCACATACCACTCCAGCATCACGGCTGTGATCACATCCACCAGTGTTACCCCAGCCACCATGACGACACTGATCAATAGATTCTTCAAATCCCAAGCAATCAAGCCCTGTAAGCCATATAGGACCAGTCCCTTTGACGCTAGCAGTTGTTGCTGCAACTGCCTTGGGGTAATTCAAGACGTGACACACTACGTAAGCATCCCATATTTTCCAACCATCATTGCATATGGTACCCCAAGTACCGTGGTATCTTACTTCTACACGTCCCTCGTTAGGAGTCTTACCGTTCACTAGACGAACATTATGTACTTATTGACTGAGTGGGAGGGCCGTACGGGAAAATATTTGGCTCGAGGTCCTGTCGTACGGACCGAGCGCAGCGAGGTCCGTACAAATGACCGAGAGCCAAATATTTTCCCGTACGGCCCGACCTAACTCAGTCAATAAGCATTTTATCATATGAGCCTCACGAAAATAAAAATAATTAAGAAAAAGAAAGCGCGCGGATTCGAGCAGGGCCGGACGGGTTTTTCCGGCCCGCTTACGTCAACCCGTCCGGCCCCCATCACGTGACTTTTTCCGATGGTTTTATTAGAGCGCGCGAGCAGGGCCGTACGGGTCATATGATAATAACGTTTATTGCATTGCCACATACCACTCCAGCATCACGGCTGTGATCACAACCAGTGTTACCCCAGCCGTAGTGGAAACATTGAGCAATAGTTTCTTGGGGTTAAAAACTATCAATAAATTGGCAAATGTGTTAACAAATATAAGAATAAAAAATACAGAATCGAAAAAGTACACTAGGGACTGGAATACATTTAAAAAAAATAACTTTACTATATTACTTAGAAGTTTGGCTTATCATGAACGACCAGTTACTAAGACAATGGACATAGTACTCGGGTGAAAAGCTTCTCTTTAA